CATATAATGCGCTCCTGAGTGTACTGCACACTCACGTTTTTGGCTCAAACTTTCAGGAAAAAAATCTTTTGTTTTAATTTTTTAATTCAGTTGTTTGTTTATCTATATTTAGAAACAAAACCAATTATTGTATGCCAGAGTATTATTTTGCATACGGATATCATTATTGCTTTCTAGAGTTATTCATTTAACAATAAATATAAATAAAAGAATTAAAAACATTTATATAGATATGGAATAAGTACTACCCATGTATAAGGCATATCTTTATTTTTTCCTCAAAAATTTGGTCACAAAAGTACCCATTATACACAGCAAAATAAGGTAGTATCTCTGATGCGCTTGGCACTACTGTTTTGTAATGTTCTCTTTTACATTTCAAATGGTAAACTCTGAAAACTCCCAATAGCTTCAGCTCTGTAATCTACTTTATCTGAGACTACCTGGGAACTCCTTTCCTTGAATCTTCACCTATCTCGCTGCACTGAGGCCTCCCTTCCTGCCCTGACTGCCACCATCAATATTTTTAGTTCTTTTTAAAAATTTCAGCACATTTCCTTCTGCAGCCACTAACTACCTAGCCTTTTCGAATACCACTACCATCTGCTTCTATTTGCTTGAGTCTGCAAGCAGCGAGTGAGGCCTGTGTGGGTGGGCTCCTGTTTCCCACAGGCTCCCTTTTCCCATCTTATGTTGTGACACATTAATTACACCCAAGCTCTATTTTCTCTCTGGTTTTCATGTTGTTTTTGAAGCTGGTGTGTCTAGGTTTCGTGTCTTCCTGTCTGTGTTAGATATCTCCAATTACTTGCTCTGCTGGCTTTGCAGAAGTCTTTCAGAGGTCTGTTTTATCGAGACAAGTCTTCAGAATACAGGTATTTTAAAAGGCACACATAGCTTATGTTTCAAAGGTTCCTCCTTAAAATTATTATTATTGGGAAATCAGCATGTTTCCAGAAGGAGGAAAACTATTACTAATGATGGTTATGGCCACAGATGAGTTCACAAAGCAAACTTAAGACATAATGTGCTGGAAGTACATACTGTATTAGCAACACCACAGAACCTAACCACATAGTATCTCTGTGGGGAAAAGAATCATCCAAAGACATTAAAACAGGCAGGGAGACAAGATGAGAACCCTCTTTTAATGAAACTTCAAGTTCTTAAGATTCTGCTATATTTAAGAGAAATATCCATAATAAGTTTCCCAAATATTTCATTAGAGTATTTGAAGAGAGTCTGAGGTGATGCATGAGAAGTTAGACCAGAAGATAGACGGAGGGCTTAGAAAATAGTAGCGGGGGACGGGTGTTAGAAAATGTAACTAAAGTTCTGGAGAATTCATTTTAGATCCAGCCCTACCAGATGAACTCCAGGGAAAGATCACATGTAAGACTGTTTCTTTTCCTTTTTGTAGACTTAAGGGGCTCCCAAGCAATAGATCAGGAAGAGGATGAGCAAGAAAGGGAGTTTCTGTGGTCTGTTAGATAGTCCAAGATGGGCAGAGGTAGGTAAATGACATATACAGCGATGTACATATGTTGAAGATTGGCTGTATCAGTCTCAATAATTAACATCTTTGCAGAGCCATCCTTAACCCAATGGAAACCTCTCTGTCAGTCAGAGAGGTACATCCAATCGTAAGTATTTAAAAGCATCTGCTATAATTAGTCTTAAGCTAAATAAACATATTCAGCAGTTCAAATTCTCTCAAAAATAATTTTAAACTGACATAATGTAGCATCACTCTACTAATTTCTAATCTTTCACTCAACTCTAACAAAGTGGCAAACATAAGAATTTTCCTTACCCATGAATATCATGAATCCAAAAAAACAAAAGTAAAAACATATCCACGGCTTATTGTAAATAAATAGCATTTTAAAAAAGTTAAGATATGTCACATACCATAAAATTCACCCAAAGTGTAAAATCCAGTGGTTTTTAGTATGTTCACCAAGTTGTACAATTGCTACCACTATCCAGTTCAAGAATATTTTCATCACCTTAAAAAGAAATCCTGTACCCATTAGCAGTCACTCCCCACAGCCCCTGACAACCAACAATCTCCTTTCTGTCTCTATGGATTTGCCTATTCTGGACATTTCATATGAATGGAAAAACACAGTATGTGGCTTTTTGTGTCTGGCTTCTTTCACGTAGCATGTTTTCAAGATTCATCCATGTTACAACATGTACCAGTAATTCATTCATTTTTTGATATGGTGACACTGCATTTTCTTTATGCATGATGGTATCTTCAAATACGAGATATTTTTGCTACCTATGCTAATGAGCTCTCAGAATTACTCAATACTCAAGCAATACACACTGTATTTGTTCACACTTTGATCTCCTGACCCACAGATTATCAGTATTTTACTTTCTGTCAATTTATAAATCATCTCATATACTATCATCTTCCTTGTATTGTGTCTCAGTACTTTTGTAAATACTTCTTGGTCTTTGCACCTAACACTCCCTTTTCTAGAAATTGCCCCTTCTTTCCAACTTCACACATGATTGGTCCAGGAATGAGCTGATGGGGCTGGATGAATTAGGCCCTTCACTGGGAATGCAGGATTAGGAGTAAGATTCTGTTTCCAACTAGCTGCTCTCTGATTGCAGGAGCTGCACTCTCAGGAGTTTTTCTGTTACTACTGTCTGCTATGTAGACTAAGAAACCAAAAAAAAAAAAAAAACTAGTCTGCAGGATGACAAGAAAGAATCAGAGACAAAGAGAAAGAATAGCAGAGACGAGAGACTGAGCCAAAACTCCTGGGTTCCTTACGGTGCCTGGTCCCTGACTGCAGGCCATTCCTAAGGCCCCGTGGCATCCCTGCCCTTGGAGTCCATGGAACATCCTACACCTTATAGTAAACTTCCCTTATTGTATGAATTAGTTAAGGAGGTTTCTGTAATTTCCAGCCAAGGGTCCTGTTATAATCATGTACCCAATAAGATTATAAACTTTTTATTAGCAAAGGCTCAAACACATACTAATTTACATTATCACCCATGGAATAATTTGTAGTTATCTATAAAAAATACATATGACATTCTTAAATGAGTATGAACAAAAAAATTAGGATTTGTGTCCATTTTAGAAAAAGCTGTATTATTGTAACAAAAGAAGTATAGTTCTGGTAAGCCTCCTTTGTTACCCCAGGGTGAGGAGTCTCTTGCAATCACTGCTAATTCTCTGCATGTTCCTGGCAGTCTTCACGTCATTATGTAGTTCTTTTCCCAAAATCAAACCCCAGGATTTGCCATCTCTTTGATTCTCAGCAGGAATAACAGACATAAAACCAGAAATGCAAATTATTTTCTTAAATCCCCATTAAAAACTCTATAGGGATAGCCCTGGTCTAATCCTTCAAAGTCTAAGATTTGTTTTTTGTATCACACTATTTGATGGCACTACCTTTCAAAGTATTCCTAAATTTTTAAAACAATACCTCCAATATTATAAAGTGCTACAGAGATACAATCCCCTTTAAATTGTAGAAGTATTCCAACTTCTTAATGTATTAAGCACTGGGGCAGTTTCTGATAGTCTTGACCCCAAACTTGCTCCTTGATAGCTTGAGAGAACTGTATGGGCTAAGCTCTGAGAGACAAACTAGTACTCACTACTACCCCTTCAACAAAATTCAAGACTCTAAGTTCAAAAAATGGATTTGCTAGTTTCCTCAGGTTCAAAGGGTTAGGGCAGGAAGGGGCTTTGGAAATCTACTTTAACATAATTATTTTACAAATAAGAAAGTGAGAGGAACAAAAGATAAATGACTTGCCTCAATTCGGAGTAAGTTGGTAAAACTAGCATATTTAGAATAAGGGTACTCAGACTCCAGGTCAGAGCTCACTTCATCATTCCATCTATCAAAAATGTGTAAGTATAGACAGTATTGAAATCTCTGCCTTCTGAGAGAAAACAAAAAACAAAAACAATGATTTTCTGCTTTCAAATGAGAGGATGAGAGGTTGAGCTATCACATCTCATTTCATGGAAGTAAATTTTTTTTCTTAAATATCCTTTCTAATGTCATAATGGAAAGATTGCTTCAACCTGATGGCTTTTCGCCATAACCAACTATGGCAGTTATTGCCTCCGTGTGCCCAAAGCTATCCCTACTTTCCCTTTCCTAGACCCGCCTAATCATTGGCAAGAATGATTGGTCTAAGTAAGGCCAACCAGAGTCCTTCCCTAGAACTGTGATACAGATGCTAAGAAAAATAAACTTCCTCCCTGTTTCCTACCATGTGGAGAAGGCAACTTCAGTAGGAAAGTCTAAGACTAACATTCAACAGAGATAAGGAGACATAATGGATGGAAAGAGTGTGGCAATGTCAAATCCTTGGTTCTCATTCTTGAGCTGGTTCCTTTGATTTTGTAACTTACAAAATTTAACTTAAACCTGTATCTTAATCAACCACAGAAGCCAGGAAACTCATATTTTGCTTAAAATAGCTTGAATTTGGTTTCTGTCACTTGCAACTCACAAATCCTTATATACCCTGACACTAGGAGACAGGACTAGAGATACATTACCCTTAACACAAGGAAATTAATAAGCTTTTCTTTAAATTTTTTATGCGTTTAGACAGGATCTACCATTTCTTACAACTACCACTCCCGACACCATACACCCAACAATTTCCTGTTTCCAGCATATGCCTGGCCCTGGAAACATCTGAGTTTGCTAATATTTCCCTAAGATGTCCCTAGAATTTTTAAAATTTCCAATATAAGCTTGGTTCATTTGAATTCCAGTAGAAGTAGAATATAGAACAAATTCCAGGTAATACAAGTTAAATGAGATTTTACTTTTTCTAGAACATTAAAAAGATGGTCTATGTATCAACATCATAGTACACTATAAAGTGAGTTTTCAAAATTTAAAGCATATCCAACAGATATGCCCACTTCAATATAATTTGGTAGCATGTTTTATTTTATAACAATAGAATCAACAACAACAAGCCTCAGGACCTACCTCCAATAAGGCTCCAGTTTGGAAGAATTTCAAAGGCTTTTCAATGGAATAATAAAGGCTATGATAGCTACCCTTAGCCAGGTATGCTCTGACCAGGCCAACTGCTATAACAAGCCACCTAAAAAAAAAAAGAGAGAGAAGAAAGATCAACCACAGAAGGGAAAAAAAAAGGTAAGTAGGACTTAAGGTAATAGGAAGATGTGGTAATGACAGATATTGCTAAAGGTGGCCTCAAGAATCAGCGTCCTGGACTTATTAACTTTTGCTCTCAAATGCCAATGCACAGAAGTGTTGCACCATACCAAGAGTGTGCCACATAAGCACAGTGGCACCTCACCCATCTGGAGCTCAGGCTTTTTGGCAACCTTGCCTGTTGAGAGAGAACAAGGCCAAAATCAAGGGAATAAGCGAAATTGGTCCCTGAGCAGTTCAATTAAGCGCCAGATTATCTAAGACAAGAGGGGGAAAAAAAGCATTAAAGGAAAAATTTAAATGGCCCGTGCAGTTAAAAGGTCTATAGTAATAATAGGATGAAGAGACGTTTTCAGCTCTTTTACAAGTATCTCACTGGAACATACCCATACCTTAAAATCTATCATTTTTAATCGCAAATGAAGTAAGAATAGAAGGTTAGATTTCTTTTCAAGGAATAAAAGAGATTTTTTTAGCTGAATTTCCCAAATTCAATTCAGTAAAGAAATCCAGATCAATACAAAATGCAAAATAGAAAAGCACTTAGGCATATCACTGTAAATGTTACATTTCTGTTCTACTATCCTTTTTAAAAATAAATTTCTCAGGCCTGATAATTTGTTTACATTCCATAATGAAATGAATGGGCCTTAATTAAGGTATGTCTCCTTGAAGGCAGTAATAGATTTACCTATATGTATAATCTCAACTATGTAATGGAGTATGTAAATTATTTCTGCCAAATGTCATACAAAGACATCAAATAGTTCGTAAAAGAAATTAACTCCTTAATGGTGTAACTGGTTCAGTATTAGCAGCCTGAAAAAATAAACACCTTATTTTACTCTCACAGCCCCAAATTCTCTTCCTAGTTTAGGATGTCACTCCTTACCCTCCACCCCTTTCTCTACAGTCATTGCTCAGGAATAATGACTTATTTTCTTCTTCCCCAATGTCCCTTAAAACCCCTCTCTAGGGCCAGTGCTCTCACCAATGCCCTTGCTAAGGCAAGAATTTTACATATAAACACACAAGAGTCCTGAATATTCTTTTAAAATCACTGTGAACGTTTATGTGACAAAGAAAATTTGCATCTGTAATATTTCTTCACTGGCCTGTAAGTAAAGAGAAATAGGTTGCAGATCCAGATATAACACTAACAAGTTCCGTGACCTCAAGCAAGTCAAGCAAGTCACAACTTCTCTGAGCCCAGGATTCAACACTTGCCATTTCTAATACTAGCAAAAAGCCTATGATCTTCCCAAGATGTATCTCTGTGTGCGTGTGTGTGTGTGTGTGTGTGAGAGAGAGAGACAGAGAGAGAGAGAGAGACAGAGAAAGCACATGTCCTGAAAATGTTAATATGACATTAGCATTTGTATTTTAAAAATGGGTGTGGGGGAGAGGAGAATGGCATGTATCTGTTTTTACTTGTACCAGCATCTGAAGGATATGAAACATAAGCTGTCTCCAGGGAGGGGATCTGGATGGAAGGGAAGGCTGAGAGAGAAAACTTTCACCTTATACCCTTGTACATATTTTGAATTTTGCACCCCACCAATGTATTGCCTATTGTAAAAGTAAATAAAAATGGATGTTCACTATGCAGTTCAAGTTTCCTTTATGTTTGAAACTTTCATAATAAAATTTTACGGAAAATGTTTTACATGTGAATCAAATTTAAAAATACACCATAAATAGTCGTGTGATTCTCCTCACCAAAAATCATAGATCAAAGACTTGGAGGAACCTTGGAGATCCCAAAGCCTGACTCTTTAGTATTGCAGAGGGAAAACGGAGGCCAAGAGAAATAAAGTAATTTATCCAAGGTCACACATCTAGCCAGTATCAAAACTAGCACTAAAAACTCACTGTAACAAAGAATGAACTGACATGAGGGAGGAACAAGAGAGGGTAAACCCGTTTGGTGGGTCTATTCCCATCCTCCTCAGCAGCTCTGCCGGCCACCTTCAGTGCCTTCCCCATCCCCATGCATCCTAAAAAAGTCTAAACTAATCTAAAGCACAGTTCTGCTCATGCCACTGGTCAAAAACTTTGAAAGCCTTTCCATAACCTTTCAGACCATAGCTCAGTCTGCATTTTGAAAACAGCCGCCTAAATAAATGGTCGCTCTGCAGTCAAGCTTTCTTCACTCCCCCTGGGGGAAACAGCTCGCCATCCGTGACTTGCCGCCCAGGCTCTTCGCGCTGCAGAAGCGCCCTGCACACCGCCCCCAGACCTGAACCAGTGACCAGTCCACCCGGACCTGAGCCTGGACAGCCTCCCCCATACCCCGTAATAGCCCCGAACTCCAGCTCGGGGAACACCCGCTGCCTGGGAACTTGCTCGGCCCTCGCCCAGGTGGGAGTCCGGGGCAAGCACCAGAGCTGTTCAGTGCTCCGCTGCCCTCAGCGCCCAGGTGCCGGGTCTCCGGCCGTCCCGGCTGCGTGGCGCGCGGTGGGCCGGACCCAGCCACCCCGCCGGCAGCAGAGCCCCCTTACCAGGCAGGCTGGCTCCCTGCCTCCCCCAGCCCCAGTCTCACCCAGCCGTCATCACCACATTATAGATGACCAGGTACGCCGTGGCCAAAGGCCCCGGGCCCCTCTTCTTCCGCGAACCGCTGGCTTCGCTTGCCCCGGCCCGGCCTCCGCCGCCTCCATTCCCTTTGGTCGCTGCAGTCGCCGATGCTGCCGCCATGTCAAGTGCCTGCTGCCCGCCCTCCTAGGGAGAGCAGCACCGCCCCCACTAGTAACAGAGGAGGCGGTGGGAGTGACGAGGAGGCGGGGCTGAGGGCGCGGGGCGGAGCCAGGGACAGCGCCCACAGCGGCCGCCATCTTGGAGGAGGGCAAAGACACTCCCTGAGCTCCCGCTCGTCGTTTGCCTCAACAGCCACCGCCATCTTGGGTCAGGGTAATCACCGCCTCTTTTCCACTCCCGTTATTAACCGCAGGCGCTACCTTGGATTAGGTTAGTGTCGCTTTTGGCCACCTTTGCCAGCCCCGCAGTTTCTGCCAGCTGGGTGCTTCGTCGTCTCTGCCTCGTCTCTCTTCTAGAACCTCCGCCTGCGTGTTGGATGAAGAAAATGATGATTTCGTTCTTTTTTTTTTTCTTAAAGATTTTATTTATTTATTTTTTTTAGAGAGGGAAGGGAGGGAGATAGAGAGAGAGGGAGAAATTATCAATGTGCGGTTGCTGGGGGTCATGGCCTGCAACCCAGGCATGTACCCTGGCTGGGAATCGAACCTGCGACACTTTGGTTCGCAGCCCGCGCTCAATCCACTGAGCTACCGGAGCTTGATGATTTCGTTCTTATTTTGACTTCTCCAACAGCCTTATCTTCACCTGTATATAGCAATGGAGTAACCTGCCATTTTGGGTCAGGCAACTGACGCGGATTTCGATTCCCATCAAGTCAGAGAATGCCTGGGAATGGCACCTCAGCCAGGTGCGTTCTGCGTTCTGATCCTTAAGCGGCAGCCAGGTTGAAGATTTAGTCTCCGAAGGTGTCTTTCCTGCTTTTTGATTTTAAGCTACTACGAGTACAGTGGAGAATGTCAGCGAGAAGTGTGCTTTTACCAACCGATTCAAGTCACCCGTGTGGCCTAGGATCCAGTGACATCTGTGAGGGCCTGGAGAGTGTGCCAGTGTTCCTTCCAGCCCGAATCCGCACGGGGTGGTCGTCGCTGAGGCAGGACGTGTCCGAGACTGTTACGTGGTCGGCTGAGGGCAGGTGTGGAGTGCAAACCTTTACACCCACAGTGCCCCCAAATAGAGAGATGTTGGCTTACATTTAACACCTGCATGCTGAGAGAAACCGGGACAGCTTGTGGAAGCTGCCTCAACCAGTTGATCCCACTCTCCACTCACTGCTTTGTCTCAGGGTATTTTTAGTTTGTAAAATTCCCTTACCATCAACTTTCACACACCCAAACATGCCTTTAAAGAAATGACTGCATATGTGGTGGTATAAAATATTTACGCATTCCAGCAAGTATTTATAGCGCCCCTGGGAGGTCACACTGGGATTCATGGTACTAAATGAAAGAGACAAGTCCTGGATCTCCTAGAGATTATGTAGAGGGAGCCAGATGAAAATAAATATATATTAAGCGGTGAAAAGTAATAATCAGAAATTTACTGCAATAATCCAAGCCATAGTGATAGAGGTTTGGGCCAGAGTGGAAGCGATTGAGGTCATGAAAACTGAATTGAATTCTGGATATATTTTAGAAGTAGAGATGATAAGATTTGTGAATATGTTAGATGTGGAGTGTGAAGTAAAAGAGATATTGTGAGCAACTTGGAAGAACTGAGTTGTACAAGAAGAGATTTTGAAGAAAAATCAAGAATTTTGGTTTTTATGTGTTGAGTTTGAATCTTTATTAGACATCTAAATGGAGGAGTCGTGTGGACAATTAGACACTGAGATTCAGTGAAGAAATACAGAGATAAATTTGAGAGTTATGGGGATAATGGTACTTAGAGCCATAAAACATCTAGAGATTGAGACACAGGAACTAAACAATTGTTGGGTGTCATCCTTTAAGGCCCCACAGATCGTGTAGAGATCCTGTTGCCTTATTTTCCTGACTTCTTTAAAGAGCAAGTGAGTGGGCTCAAATTGCAGACAATGACCAGTGGGGGAAATATTGCAAAAGAAATAAAGAAGTGAGTCATTTTACAGAGCAAATGATCACTCATCTGAAAGCTTCTTCAATTCATTTAACTGATTTTTCTTTTCCAGATAACCTAAGAAAGTAGGAGGCAGGAACACATAAAGCTCTCTTAGTTGGAAATCAACTTAAAACTCATTGTATCTTCTTGCAGTCAGTTAAGCCCACCTCCAGTCTATTCTCTACAGTAGAGTCATAGTGATCTTTCCTAAATACAAATTTGTTCATGTCTGCTACCTTTCCCCTCCTCACCCCCTTAAAATATTTAAGTGACTTTTAGTGACACTTTAGATAAAGTATATTATGAACACGGACAGTGTGGTGATTGCCAGGAGTGAAGGGTGTAAGAGGGACAAATGGTGATGGGAAAAATAAAAAATACATTTTAAAAAAGGGAAAATAATTAAAGTAGGCTATAATAATGTGCATGGTCTTGCCCTACCAATGTATTTGGTCCCACATCATACCCTAGCCATACTTGCTTTATATTAGGTGAACAATGCTTCTTTCTGCCACAGGGATTTAGAACATGTTATTCCCTCTGCCCAGAACAACCTTTAGCCCTAATTTTCCCTGAATTTCTGAAATACCATATATTGCCATGTATCATGTGCTCCTGTGCAAAATGTGCATGGGCATTTTTGGCCCAAACTTTCAGGGAAAAAATGATTTTAATTTTTAAATTCAATTACTTATTTATTCACATTTAGATACTTGTTTTTTATATTATAAAGAAATTTTAGCATTTATTTTTGAACATATGAATATCATTATTGCTTTCTAGAGTTACACTTTTAATGCATAAACAAATAAAAGAACTAAAAACATATAGATATGGAATTAGTACTGCCCATGTATAATGCACATCCTTATTTTTCCCTCAAAAATTTGAGCAAAAAATGCACATTATACATGGCAAAGGCAAATCATTCTCCCTTCTGTGGTCTTTATGTACTTGTTCTCATGATATATACCACAGTAATTTTATGTTTATTCATGTGATTTGTCTCCCCAACTAGACTACAAGTTTTATTAGACAGGAATAGTGTTTTTTTCTTGGTGATGGTGGTTTAAGCTGTATGTGTTTGTTAACCCTCCCCAATGTCTGACACACTGCCTGACAATATGACATTGTCTTAATCAATCATGGGTCCTCTAGCAGAATAATTATTTCAAGACTTAGGACTTCAACAGCAGAAGCAGATCTCATCAGGGTCTGGTGAAGTTGATAGAAGGATGCTGGGGCATAGTGTTTGTCTTTTTGCTGGATTGTTAAATGTAAGAGGATGTGCTCCTAGCTCCATACAACCATCTTCCCCTTTATGTGGAGACAGATTATTACTAAAAAGAAACCAAGCAGACAGGAGAGGGAATCTTGGTTCCAGTTCCTGATGCTTTTCCTTCAGTTTTGTGGGCTATCTCATTATCCTTGAGCAAGTAAGTCAATACATTCCTTTTGCTTAATCAAGCAGTCCCCCAGAACAAAAACTGTTTCTTTTCCATTCGTTATAACAAAAGTCCTGGAAAGTAATCTCATTAGTTTGTGTCACACACATATTACTGAGCCAATTATTGTGGCCAAAGAGGATAAAATATGCTGATTAGCCAGTTCTTTATCATATACCCATAGTTGGAGGAGTGGTGGCTTACCCGAAACTGTATGAATTGTGTTCATATATCCCCTGAATGTAGTTCTTCCCCAAGCGCTGGACTATAAGATACTTGAGGGCAGGTAATGTTAATTCAGCATGTGTTGTTTTTACCTGTTGTAAATTCGTTTTCTTGTGAGAGTGTAGCATAGCAGAAACTCCCCAAAACTGCTGGTGATAAGTTGATGTGTTTACTTTAGAAAACAGTTTGTCATTAACTGAGAAAAGTCAAAGACACACATATCCCATGACTATTATTCTACTGCCAGGTAGATTCCCTTAAAGATCCCCTAAGGTACATGTACCAGAATATTCAAAGCAGTGTTACTTATTATAGCCACATGCTGAATATGACACAGCACCTATCCACAGTAGAATATATAAGTATGCTGACAATGGGATATTTTACAGCAATGCAAATGAACAAATTGCAGCACTTGGTGTTTATGAATATCATAAACACTGAGTGAAAAAAGCAAGACACAAAAAGATATACATAGTATGGCTCATTCATCAAGTTCAAAATAAGGCTAAGTGAAATTAAATTGTTTAGGGATACATACACAGGGGTTAAAACTATACAGAAACACAAAGAAATGATTACCACAAGAGTCAGGATAATGAGTTCTGGACTAGAGCTGGCCACCCAGGAGCAGTTGATAAGGAGGCACCTCTCTCCCTCACCTTTTTATCTCCATAGAAAGGGCAGCTTCTGCACAAACAGGGTATGTACTAATACAATTTCCAGGTTCCTAAATGATGTAGACCAATTCTTGTTTGTTAGATAAAAAAGGAATGTGCTGAAAGGACATTGGATAGCTCACAGAATTGATGGGAGAGATGATGAATGAGGTTTGGAACATAGACAGGAACCATGGGAAATTAGGCAGCCAAAAATAGAGACCAAATCAATACATATGAAGAAACTGGTTAGTATCCAATAGCTTCTGTCATTGGCATGGCTGCCATTGGACATTGGATGAGTCCATTATTGCTTCCTCTATCATTTCTAGAAGGATTCTAAACCATGTGTTTCTCTCTGTTGCTCTCTCCAGAGTCAAGGTCTTAGGTAGGAGCATCTATTTGGAAGGAAGTTCACACGCCCAAATTCTAAAGACAAGGAAAGTGGGAAAGAGGCTATTTGCCCACATTTGAGCTCTGTTATTGAAATTCCCTCCAAATAGAAAATGTATTTAGATACTGAGTGGCCAAAATGAAAATGCCTATCACAAGGAATATCAAAAATAAATATCTCGTCTCCACATGGAGGAGGGAAGAGTAATATGATTAGTTAAGATGTATGAAATTCATTGGGCCATGTTTTTACTGCAGGATAAGAGATTGAGCACAGAATCATTGAATTGAAAGGCGTCCAGGCTGGCTCTTCCACCGTTCAAGGCACCATTTTCTCTTT